TAGTTAGGTAGGAGCAATAGAGATGCGAGCGGATGAGACAGCCATCACTGCCTCTTTTTGCCAGAGTGTTTCTGATACAGAAGATGTATTCATGGCTACTTTAAGATTCATAACAGTACCATTAAATATTTAACACATGGTCATTTTTGCTTGAATATTTAAATTTACATTTATTAAAATTTCACGTTGTGAATGAACATGTGTGGTAAATGATCTAACTTGAAATACCCAGGATTTGAGATTATTTAAATAACTGCTTAGAGTTTATCTTCATCTTCAGCATGAGCTTATGTAGTAGGTGTCTTGGATATCGAGTAGCTGTGGGTGAAGGGGCCTAACAGTTGTTTCAGGAGAGTGAGCACTGGAGACAGTTAAGTGCTTGGGACAGTGGTGCAGAGAACAGCCACAGTGGCAGTGAGCTCGAGTACAGGGTGTGTGCTGCAAGTCTCCTGCAGGCAGCAGCAGCGTGTTCAGGAGGCCAGGTTGGCTGCTTCCATTTCATGTCAGTTTACCTCATGATTTTAAAAAGTCTTCTCATTGTAGATTGTCAAGTGAGAGATAGATTATTTTGAGGTTTATTAATAATATTCTGAAACAAATCAGAAATGACACAGGATTGATTTGTTGTTCTAAAATTTATACTTGGTGGTGTTCATAGCAGTACTCCTAAAATATATTACTTATTACTGCTAAATTCTCTTCTTGCTAGAGATGGTAGTAGTTGGTTCATATTAAAAGGATTAACGTTTTCCATTTAAATTGTAAGGTCAGGGACTGGAATAGGGACGCAGCAGTTGCAAAGCATGGACTGCTCCTTCAGAGGCCCTGAATTCAGTTCCCAGAACCCAAGTTGTGAGGGTAGCTCAAAACCACCAGTAACTCTAGCTCTCGGGGTCTCTGTGGGTATAATCTAAAAATATACACATGCATGTAATTAAACATAAAACGTAAATAAATTATAAGCTCTGTGCTGCATTACCAAAAACTGCCATGTGGAAGTGTAACTCCTGTTCATATACGAGCAGTACTGCTCTAGCATTCAGTAACTACTGCTTTTCTGTCAGTAGGAAGCGGACAGAATTGAACTTGGGGAGGAGGGATGGGGGTGGGTGGGAATGAATGTTAGTGCAGCCTTGTATCCCAGCCAGAAGGGAATCAGTCATGCAGCTCTCTAGGAGACAAGAGAGGATGCAGCTGTTGGGCTATCTCAGGCAAACTTTGCACCAGAGCACATGTCAAAAGAGATTAGGACATCGTGGGTGCATCATAGATGTTCACTGGGAGAATTAATGATCTAAAAGCTGAGTTGTAGAATTAAATAAGATCTATAAAAAATAAATCTATGCAATGGATAATATAAAGTTATGAAATATCTTCCAGTTTGATAGATGAGAACTAAAATTTTCTTGTCTAGCACATGGTTGCTGAGATCAAGGTTATTTCCAATGGTCTATAGTAAGTGTTTTGACTCAAGGAAATTGGTATCACCATAGATGAAATCAGATAAAGGCATATTTATTACTCTTTGCCAAGTTACTTGATAAAGTTCAAAAAGTTGCTATTATTAAGTGTACTTTTTTTTGGTCCACATAGTTACTTTATATATATTTTTCTAATTTATTTAAATTTTTATACATGTATACAATAAAATAAGATCACATCCACCCTTCTCCCTCCAAATTCTAATAGATTCTCCTCAGAATGCCCCCTCTTGTCTCTATAGCCATGTAAGTCAGATTAGCCTATAACTCACAGAGGTCCACTTGTGTCTGCTTCCTTGGTGTTAGGATTAAAAGCCTATACCACCAAACCAGCCTCATGTATTTGTATATGCATATGTGTGTGCATGTGTGTGTGTCTGTGTATGTATGTATGTATGTATGTATGTATGTATGTACGTGTGTACACACAGACATCTTTGTATCCCAGTAATCCATGTTAGTGTTTTACACATACATGCATACAGTGTGTACAGCCATTCACTGTAGTATGGGAAACCTACCAGAGACCATAATCCCAAATAAGTATAATTTTTCTGTCAGCTGCTGTTAACTGCAGCTTCACATTTGGAGCAAGGGCTTATAAGCTCCTCTCCCACTCATTCGGGAATTGTGTCTGGATTCCTCTTGTTCAGGTAACTGCAGCTTCCATGAGTGTGTGGATGTGATGGCCTTGTCACATCCAGGTGTCACAAATGCTATGGTCATATCATATCCAGACATCACAGATGTGGTGTCCATGTCATGTCCAGATGTCATGGATGTGATATCTGTGTCACATCTGGAGCAGCATTTCACAGCACTTCTCCCCATCCTCCAGCTCTTTGTATGAGGTTTGAGAAAGACGTTCCATTCGGGACTGAGCACTCTGTCACTTACCCTTAGCACTTGACCAATTGTGAGTCTTTTCATCAACTGCTGCCCACTGCATTAAGAAGCTTCTGGGACCAAGATTGAGAGTAATAAGTCTCTGGGTATAAACAAGTGCATAGAAGGGAAATTGAGATCACAGCAATTAGTAAAATAACAAAAGTAGGGTCCCAAGTGGATCTCTATGAACTCCTAGCAATGGGCTTTTGTTGAGTCACTAAATTTCCTCCTGGGGAGCAGATTGCACATATAGTCAGAAAAGTTCTTAGTTACCTCAGTCACAGACATGCACTGTAGCTGCATTTCGTGCATCTATCCTGGCAGGTCTGTATTCTACCAAACCAGTGTCCAGCACTAAATAAGACATGGTTTCGTCCCCTGCAGACTGCATTGTTCCCTCTGACAGTATGAACAGGGAAGACATTTCTTCTTTTGGTTTGAGACTCTTTTTTATCCTGCAAGCAAAGTATGGTAATTATAGCAGTCTGATCTGACTTTGTTGTTATGGTGATGACTTAAGAGCAACACCAATAGCCTGTGTCATTCTGGAGACTTTGGACCCTCCTTGACCAACTGCTTTTAGGGAGGTCTCCCATGCCTGCCTTTCTCCCTTATTTACACATGCTGTGTAGAGATGACATGATGCATCATGCAGAGAACCTCTCTTCAACCCCTTTACCTTCATCACCACTGTTTCATGTAGAAGTTAGCTTCTAACCTGTGGGTTTCCCTAAGGCCTTTCATAATCCTGAGTTTTGATTAACCCATACCTTTCTCTCCCCTATTTCCTCACTCTGTCTCCGCTTAACCCTTTCACACATTTCATAACAGATACGTTGTTCGTCTATCCCCTCAAGTTAGATTTTTCAATTGGGTCATAATTTAGTAAGTTTCCATCTGGCTTTTACATATCATCTTCCTTTAGGTTGATTCCACACATTTCCTGATTGCCTCCAGTCTTCCAGTTCTCTCCTTTATTTACCTGTGATTTTCTTTGGACCTGTCAGTTATCCAAGTTATGGTTTTGTGGCTGCTGTTAAGTGTCGACAGTACCAAGTGGCCTCACAGTTGAGAGCACAGGGCTGGTAAGAGATTTGCAGTATGGTACACAGGAGGGAAGTATAGACAGACAGAGGAGAAGGCTGTGGCAACATACTGGAAAACATTCATCATTCATCTTAGGATTAAGAGCTTTAGATGGAGAATCACTCGGTCTGTCTTCGTTTCTAGCTGCTCAGAGTCTGCATGAAGTGCAGACAGATGCCACAGCTGCATCTGTCCCTTTACTCAGTTAACATACACTAATAAAATGTTATACTGTTTTCAAATATATGTATATATATATATATATTTTATATGTGTATAGATATATAATATATATTATATTTTATAATAATATTATTTTATAATATTTCTTTTTTTTTAAAAGATTTATTTATTTTATATATATGAGTACACTATAGCTGTCTTCAGACACACTAGAGGGCACCAGATCCCATTACGGATGGTTGTGAGCCACCATGTGGTTGCTGGGAATTGAACTCAGGACCTCTGGAAGAGCAGTCAGTGCTCTTAACCACTAAGCCATCTCTCCAGCCCCTATAATATTTCTTTATAAATATATATTTATGTATAATTTATTTTATAACACAATTTTATTATATATACATGTATATATATGCATAAAGCATAGGCTATATGCCTATGAAGCAGTAACATAATGCATACCTGAAGACTGCCTCCCTGTCCCTACCCCCTACTGCAGGGAAGAAGAGGGAGACAATCTCACCAATGAAAACTGTAAACTGAAATGTTAACTAATGGAGAAATATGGATAGTTTGTACATAAAATTATATCTTCCCAGTTATTACTTTCAAAAATTTATCTTCATGTATTGAAATCACTTTTTATGATACTTACATTATTATATTAGATCTCATAGTTATTAAGATAACTTACTTTTATTGTTGGTACAAAAGCATATATACTCAGTTGTGCTACTTCCAGTACTATCCCAGTAATGACCGCATTCTTTAATACTCCCAATATGTGATCCAAAGCGGTTTTGTTGTTATATTATGATCTCTAAGCAAAATATTAATGATCCTGAAATTATGTACAATACTGAAGTTTTTCTCAAAGATTTCATTAATTTTTTATAGGATGCTAATAATGTAATTGTGTTAGAATTTTCAGTTACAAAATATGAATTACAATATAGTAGTTTCTGGATAATATTTTCTTACAAAGCCCTTGTAACTGGCTGCTACAAGAAATTATTTTCTTGTTTTGAAGTTTAAACTGTATGTTTAAAGAGTGAGGATAGAGAAGGCAAATGCTGGATTTCTGTCCTGGTCTGGTTAAGGGCCAGTCATTTGAAGAGTTTCTCATTCATTTGGATTTGTAGCTGTTTTAAACTTTATAAAAAAATCATTTTGAGTATTCCAAGTCTATGAGCATATTCTCACCAAATTGTCCGGTTTTACAGGGGTATTTTTCTTGTAAGTTTGGAACCATAAAATAGAAACATTGCTAACTAGTCAAGTTACCAGTGTGTGTGTGTGGTCAGGTTTCTGTTCAGTTCCTGCTGTGTGATCTCACTGTGTTATTCTGGCCTTGTTTTTGCATAGGGTGCCGGCCAGGATAAACTGGGAATATACGTTAAATCGGTTGTCAAAGGAGGTGCTGCAGATGTGGTCAGTACTTGTTTTAAAGGAAACAGTGAAGAACATTATCCACTTCAGCTTTGTGAAGTACTGTGCAGATGCTTACAGCTGTGTACTGACTGTGTGGTGTGAGGAACGCTGCTGTGCACTGACTGTGTGGTGTGAGGAACGCTGCTGTGCACTGACTGTGTGGTGTGAGGAACGCTGCTGTGCACTGACTGTGTGGTGTGAGGAACGCTGCTGTGCACTGACTGTGTGGTGTGAGGAATGGTGGTGTGCACTGACTGTGTGGTGTGAGGAATGCTGCTGTGCACTGACTGTGTGGTGTGAGGAATGGTGGTGTGCACTGACTGTGTGGTGTGAGGAACGCTGCTGTGCACTGACTGTGTGGTGTGAGGAACGCTGCTGTGCACTGACTGTGTGGTGTGAGGAACGCTGCTGTGTACTGACTGTGTGGTGTGAGGAACGCTGCTGTGCACTGACTGTGTGGTGTGAGGAATGGTGGTGTGCTCTGACTGTGTGGTGTGAGGAACGCTGCTGTGCACTGATTGTGTGGTGTGAGGAATGGTGGTGTGCACTG